AGTGAGATGGTGAATATGTGAACATCCAGGCCCACAGGTATTTCACAGAGTTGGTATGAATCCCTCATGTGGACACGAGAATATCTGATGAATAAATTTATCAGAGAAGAGGTTTTGGTAGAAAGCCCATATTCATTAGCACTTAATTAGTTCCCAATAATTATATTAATTATGAAATGACAGCCAAATCAGCTTTGTGCTTTGTGAGATAGTCTCATATCAGCTTCCTCAGTAGGCTTTTGTGAACGAAGGCTGATAGGAAATATTAATTAAAAACATACCCAAAACAACATTAGTTAGTGTAGACTGTTTTCCACTTCATCCTGGAGAATCAGCTCTCTCAGAAGTGACTTTATCGCGTGCTTAATACACACAGTAAGGACGCTAAAAGGGAAAATGCCCCACATGTTACATGATCACATTTTTGGTTTGTTATTTCCAAGAAAGTTAGCAAAGCAACAGTAAAAATGCATCATTGCCAACGGCATAAGTCAGAGAAACGTGCCTCTTTTTCATAGACCAGAGCCCGAGGCAGGAGAGAACGCGGGTAGCTCCAAGGCCAAAGAGACGCGTATCTTCCATCGGGCCGCGTCGTGTGTTAGGGACGGAGGCAGGATGGATGGGTTTGAGTCGGATGCTGCCCCTGTCAGATGTGCCTTAGCTGCGTCACCTATAAGATGGGAACAATTCTAATAGCATACACCTCAAAAGGGTACTGTGAGGGTTAAATAAAGGGATCTAGGCACTGCACTTAAAATAATGGCCAAAGTGCTGAGCAAGTGTTTGCTATTCATTAGTCCATGACATGTACAAAAGTATGCGGGCTAAGAAGGGATAGGAAAAGCATGTTCTTTTCCTCGACGTCTGCAATACTTCTATGGCAGGCGCTATCCCCCGGGGGGCGCAACCCCAGTTGCAATACCCCAAAAGAATGTATCTTCTCCTTGTAAAATATTTCTTCTTCGTAGGCCTTTTTGTGTGTTAGAAAATGCATGGATTCTGGAATCAGAATGCTATTCTCACCCTTTCCTTATTGTATGACTTGAAGCAACGATACTCACCCCGACAGGTTCATGGGAATCTCAGGTGAGCTCCGGTATGCGACAGGCCCGTGGCTTTAGCAAAATCAACCCGTTTCCCCTTCTGATAAAAGTGACTCTAATCGGTCTAAAATAATGCCGGAATTCTTCATGATAGCTAAGGCTGACCTTTTCTTTCTTTCTTTTTTAGTACATTTTACTGATGATGCTATTACAGTTGCCCCATTTTTTCTCCCCTTTGCCGCCCTCTGCCCAGGACCCCTATTCCCCCCAGCGATCCCCCCTTAGTTCATGTCCATGGGTCGTGCCTATAAGATCTTTGGCTTCGCCATTTCCTATACCATTCTTAACCTCTCCTATTTTGTGCCTACTGTTTAGGCTGCTTATTTCCTTTCAATTTTTCCCCATTTTCCTCCTTCCCCCAGCCAGCTAATAACCCTCCATGTGATCCCCATTTCTGTGATTCTGTTCCTCTTCTAGTTGTTTGCTTAGTTTGTTTTTGTTTTTGTTTTTGTTTTTTTAGGTTCAGTTGTTGATAGCTGTGAATTTGTTGTCGTTGTACTGTTCATAGTTTTGATCTTCTTCTTTTCCTTAGATAAGTCCCTTTAACACTTCATATAATAAGGGCTTGGTGATGATGAACTCCTTTAGTTTTACCTTGTCTTGGAAGTACTATATTTGCCCTTCCATTAATGATGATGTACTTTGGTGTATTTCTTCCTGGATCCAATTTCTTTGGGAGTCTCTGAGCTTCCTGGACTATTTCCTTCACCAAATTGGGGGAGTTTTCTTTCATTATTTTTTTCAAGTATGTTCAATTTCTTGCTCTTCCTCTTCTCCTTCTGACACCCCTTTGATTCCGATGTTCATACATTTAAAGTTGTCCCAGAGGTTCCTAAGCCTCTCCTCATTTTTTTGAATTCTTGTTTCTTCATTCTGTTCCAGTTGAATGTTTATTTCTTCCTTTTGTTCCAAATTGTTGATGTGCGTCCTGGCTTGCTTCCTTCACTGTTGGTCCCCTGTAAGTTTTTTCTTTATTTCACTTTGCATAGCCTTCTTTTCTTCCTCTGTTTTGCAACCATACTCAACCATTTCTGTGAGCATCCTGATTGCCGGTGTTTTGAACTGTGCATCTGATAGGTTTGCCGTCTCCTCATTGCTTAGTTCTTTTTCTGCAGTTTTGATCTGTTCTTTCATTTGGGCCATGTTCCTTTGTCTCCTCAATTTGTCACCACACTTGTCATGGTGGAAGGGGCAGAGACTTAAGTATTCACCAGGGCAGGGCAACCCGCTTTGCTGAGTCCTGGTGCTGTAGGTGGGGGAAGGGTCAGAGAGGGAACCACGCTGCCGGCTCTGCTCTCACCCTGCTTTCAGTCCCTTCCCCCACTACCCACAAGCAAATGGTGCCCTCCCAGGTGCTGCCCTGGCGCGGATTCCTGGGTGGGTGGGGTTGTGTACATTCTAGAACCCCGTGGGCCCCCCAGATGGGCTGTCCTGAGAGACCAGCAGTTTCCTCTGCTGCCACAACCCCCACAGATTTTTACAGGCAGGGGTTCTGAGGCTTTATTTACCTCGTGCTGGAACCCTGGGTTGCACGGTCTGTCCTGGGCCGGGATTGCTTGCTCCCCAGTTGTTCCAGTTTTTATCCACATGCGAATGTGGGACCGCCTGGTCCATGAGCCACCACGTTGCCACATGTCCTCTCTGCCCTGGCTGCCCACCTCCACCCCTCCTGCCGGTCTGGATGAACGTTTCTTCTTTAACTCCTTGGCTGTTGGATTTCCATGCAGTTTTATTTTCTGGCAGTTCTGGTTGTTTTTTGTTTTTTAGATTGGTCATTATCCTTCTTTTGGTTGTCGCAGAGGTGAAGCATATGTACCTACGCCTCCATCTTGGCCAGAAGTCCGGTCAAGGATGTTTGTTTGTTTTTGTACATGGGATATGGTTTCATTGTCATTGCTTTACAAGATAGATAATTAGTAGTGTGTTCACATCACCTCATTTCATGCAAGTCATACAACACATTGAATTACAGTTTTCCTTTTCCTGTTTTACGGAGGACAATGAGCTCTCTGGTCGATTGATTGAAATATTGGTCCAGCTTTCCCCTTCACTGTGTCCGTGTCCCTTGCCAAGGCCCATTGTCGTGTCCTCTCGCCCTGACTGTGGGCCTTACCACATGACCTGCGAGTAGGATGTTGGCTTCTAAGATGTAACCCGGGATTTAAAGGCACTTGCAAAATCGATCTTGCTCTCTTCCATGATTGCCACGGGAACTTGCCTGGCCCAAAGTGATGGAGGATTGGAGCCAAACGGCACAAATGTCGGTCGTCACAGTCCGTTTATCCGAGGCCATGCTTGGCCGACCAACACCCAGCTGACGGCCTGGCATGTGAGCAGGCTCGGCCCGCGTCAGCGCAGACGTGACCAACAGCTGAGTGCAGGCCTGTAAGGGAGCCCGGCCAATAAATGCCAAGCTCAGCCTAAGTCAGCTGAACTCCACATACCTGTACGCTTCCTAAAATAAAGGTTTATTGTCTCAGGCAACTGAGGCGGTGTAGACATTTATTACACATAACTGTGCAAATGAAACTTCACAAACAGTTAATCCTCCTAGTAAGGGCCCAAACAAAGCAGGATTTCCACACTATAGTAAGAATGTTTTCCCTTCACTATCGTGAAAGAGATTTTGAGCTAAGCAGACTTGGGGAGCAGAGGGGAAAGCTTAATGTAATGTAGTATTTTATAAATGCTCTCTTGATCCAGTGTTTTTTCATGTAAAAACTCTCTTATTTTTAAATATTTTACATATTATTTATTTGTTAATGTTAAGGGTTTATTGGAGCAAAAATGGATCTGAATCAGGCAGCACCAAATCGGGAGGGGTTCGGGGTACTGCGCTGACAAGAGCTGGAATTTATTGGGGTGACATTGGTTAATACGATTATATGGGTGTCAAGCCTACACTCCTGTAACACATCTTCTGTATGTTGTGTTGTATGTTCACTTCCCCGAGTCGAGTGTCCTTCCATCACCATTTACCCCCTCTGTACCCTCTGGTACCTCCCGACCCCCTCCCTTCTGACCGCTGGCAGTCTTTTCACCAACTATGAGTCTGTTTCTACTTTGTTGGTTCAGGTTGTTCCTTAGAGTCCATATATGAGTGAGATCATATTTGGTACTTGTCTTCCTCTGAGTGGCTTATTTCACTGAGCACTGTGTTCCCCAGGTCCCTCCGTGCTGTCACGGAGGGTAAGATTTTTTCTTTGCTCACAGCCACGGCCCACTCCACTGTGTAAGGGCCCCAGAGTTGTTGTATCCACTCATCTGCTGATGGGCACTTGGGCTGCTGGTAAGGATCAGCTCCTGTAAACAGGGGTGTCCTGGGAAGCGGGGCACAGCGCACGGTGCGCAGGGGGCCGACTGCTCCAAAGGGGCGGGCTGCGGAGTGGGAGGCGGGGGATTCTGGGAACAGAACACATCGTTTTGTTTTCTAACAACTTCTCGTCCACTTAGTGTTTGTCCAAGTAAATTTAGACCTCAAAGGAGATGGGTTAATATGAATCTGGGTCAAAAACAAAACAAAACAGCTGAAGACACAGGTTCTTCCGAATAAAATAGGTACCTGATAAGCTCTCTAATCTTCGCCCGGTTTTTCCTCACCATCGTCCGCTCTCAAGGGCTCACCCTACACACACCGCCCCCCGGTTCTTGCTTTCCCGTCTTGAATCCGGGCAGCAGGCTTTTAGTGAAATGTTGGCTAAAACTGGTCTCTCTCACACTCACCGATCCCCCAACCTGGCCCCACCCCCTGCCTCCCCCCCACATGCCCTCATGTGGCAGGTGCGCACCTCTGCCCAGAAAGATGGGGAAACGACGCTTCCCAGAGAGCAGTCACAAGACAGTCGATTCATCAACCAGGTGTTTTATTAAGGTGATGGCTGATCATTTACTTTTCATTCACATGGCATATTTCCTGGTCCAGGCTCGGGCCATCGTATTATAGGTGTCCCTATCCTTTAAGTACATTCTCGCAATGGATGGGACTAAGGGGTCAGCGGGGTTGGGGTTACATAACATTGAGCTTATAGATATCAGGACTTTGGATATGGAGACTGCAGGGGACCATTCGGACCCGAGAATATCTAGAGAGATAGACCCTTGTCTGCTGATGTTGGGGTGGTAGATCCGGGTGGTGAAGTAAATCGAAGGATATCTGAACGGGTAATCCCGTGGGAAGTGTATGTTTAGGGAGAAGACCCCTCCCTCGTACGGACTGTCCTCTGGGCCCGTGATGGCCCCCTTCCATGAGAACATGTCCTCACCCACCGGCCCTGCCGAGCACAGGGGAGGGGGGTCCGTGCTGATGTCCTTCAGTTTCTTTTCCAGGTGCTTTAGAGTTCTGGACTGGTCCATGGGAACAGGCCATCTCGGGACATCCCGATAGGGACAAGGGGGACCACGGGTCAGGGGGCCCGTGGGGGAGGGCGGGCGTGGGTTCCGGGGCCACGGGTTAGAGAGGCAGCCGCCCCCCAGGTCGGTGGGTCAGGAGGCCGAAGGCGGGCTGCGGGTGCGAGGGGGGTGTCGGGGGACAGGGCCGGGGGGAGGGGAGAGGAAGGGACCGCTGGGGACTCGGCTGGACCTGAGGGGCCACTATTCACCTGTGTCCTGCTTGTCCCTGGCTCCTCCATCGCGGGCTCCGCCGCCACTTGCTGCACCTGTCCCCACCTGGACCCTCTGCCGCTCAGAGCCTGAGCCCCAGGGCTGCGCTGGCCGTAGACACCAGTGCTTGGCGACAGGACCCGTTGCTCCTGCCGGGCCGTCTGCCTCTGCCTTCTGCCCTGTTGTGCACACTGGGTGCCCGGGGACAGGAGGGGATCTGCCTGGAGACATAGCAAGTCAGTGGAGGGGGGCGGGGCCAAGGGAGACGGGGGCATAAATGAGAGGGCATGGAGGGCGGGGGGAGCCATGAAGAGGAATGGGGGGTTCCAGGGTGGGAGGGACCGTGGAGGGGAACGGCGGTGTGGACGACAATGGAGTAGAGTGAAAGGGAACAGAGTGGGTGGAGGGGAATGGGGGCTGGGAGTGCAAGGGACCATGGCGGGGCATGGGGGGAGAGTGGGAGGGGCCATGGTAGGGAATGGGGGGGAGAGTGGGAGGGACCATGGCGGGGCATGGGGGGAGAGTGGGAGGGACCATGGCGCGGCATGGGGGGAGAGTGGGAGGGGCCATGGCGGGGCATGGGGGGAGAGTGGGAGGGGCCATGGCGCGGCATGGGGGGAGAGTGGGAGGGGCCATGGCGGGGCATGGGGGGAGAGTGGGAGGGGCCATGGCGGGGCATGGGGGGAGAGTGGGAGGGGCCATGGCGGGGCATGGGGGGAGAGTGGGAGGGGCCATGGCAGGGAATGGGGAGGAGAGTGGGAGGGACCATGGCGGGGCATGGGGGGAGAGTGGGAGGGGCCATGGCGGGGCATGGGGGAGAGTGGGAGGGGCCATGGCGGGGAATAGGGGGTGGACGGCAGTAGGGACTATGGAGGGGAGTGGGGGGTGGGACCAAGGTGGGGCCGATGGATGGGGAGGCCGGCGAGAGGCCTGGGAAGGTGAAGGGGGCGGGGTAGAAGGACCCCGACTCTCTGGCTGGCCCAGCGCGGTGCCCCGGCCTGGTTCGTGGGGTCCCAGGCCCCCCTGCCTCCCGCTGAGAGTCACCTGAGGGTACAGGGGAGGTTCCACGCATCCCCCACCCCTCAGTCCCCTAGACTCACCTCCGTGAACAGGCCACCCCCTGCCTTTGTACTAATCTCTCTCCGTCATTCTCGCTCCTGAGCTCGCCCGCCCTCTCTCTCTATGGGCACAGGCGTCGCTGAGAGTGAGCTTCGTAGGACTCGGGCCTTTAAGACAGGGTCTCCCTCACAAACAAGTTGTACACCAACACCCACGCCCTAAGCGCGGTCCTAGTCATAAGTAAACACTTGGCACCTATATTGGTGATGAGACAATACATTCTCATACGATTGTGGGACTCTTCATTTCTTGATTGTTGCTTACGAGGCAACTGTGGAATTTCAGTCAATTTACCAGAAGTGTTTTTGCTTAACAATGATCAAATCCACCAAAGCTTTTTTTCCAAGCCTTTCAGTGTACACAACTTTTTCTTTCATTGCTTTATCATATTGTAATCTTTTCAAAAACTGAAAGGGCAACACCAACAATACACACAGTTCAGTGCAACTGACACACGCAACAGTATGAACAGCTTTGAACAAATTTATCCCCGCAGAGTCAGCGAAGACTGCTCTCTGTCCGACAGAAAACATTACAATGTGCAACGGATTGTAAATTACATTCCAATTTCAGAGAAAAGAGAATAGGCAGAAACGTGTGCATCTTCAAATATAAAAATACTAAGATATTTGTACTTATTTTGGCCAAAGGAAAAGAAGGCATACACATAGAATAGAGGCATTCATTTAGAATTTACACAGAGGCTGAAGTCTCATTTATCTTTGATTATTGCCCAACTTTCATTAAAAATCTGTAGGCAGACCCTGGCCAGGTAGCTCAGGTAGAGCGTCATCCCAATACACTAAAGTTGCAGGTTCGACCCCCAGTCGAACACAAGTTAACACAAGTTAACACAAGTTAACACAAGAATCAACCAATGAAGGCATAAGTAAGTGGAGCAACAAATGAGTGTTTCTCTTTCTCTTGCTCTCTTTTCTCCTTCCTCTCTCTCTCTAAAATAAATACATTAAAATAAAAGAATTCTAATTACTAACATAAAAACATGTTAAATATATAAATGTAAATATATAGTAAATTCAGAATAACCTCATACAGTAATGTGGTGGAATATTAACCACTTAGTTCTAGTATAAATGTTAAATGACAGAGTATCAAAAAACATGACAAGTACAATAATTTGTTGAAGAATACACAATACAAGAGGAAAATTATAGCATTAAACATATAAAAGAGAATATAGTTTTCGGTACATGACTGAAGTTATCATTGGCTAAAATAGTCTATTATATGTATAATATGTTTTATATAAGCCTCAAGATAACCACAAAGCAAAAGCATATAACAAGTATAACAAGTACACAAAGGGTAAAGACAAAGAAATCAAAGCACACTGCTATGGATAATTATCAATTTACAAAGGAAAGCAGCAAGAGAGAAAAAGAAAAACAAAGGACCTACAAAAATAGACAGAAAAAAAGAAAAAGGTATTAGTAAGTCCTTATCTATCAGTAAACACTTTAAATATCATGAGTTATCCAATCAAAAGATAGTGCTGCTGCATGGAAAAAATAAAACAGAAAGCAGCACCCAACTCTTATATGCTTACAAAAAACTCAGCTTGGCTCACTTGAGCATGAACAAAAGAAGCAAAGGCTCTAAGTGAAGGGGGCCAAAAAAATAACCATGCAAGTGGAACCAGAAGAGAGCTGGAGTCCTTCTACTTACATGAGAAAAGAGAAACTTTAGGCCAAAAATGCTGACAAGAGACAAAGACTGCGTCAAGAGAATGTAACAATCCTAAACAGTATATTCACCCAACATCGAATTTGCTAACGTTATTAAACAAACACTAATAGATCTGAAGGGAGTCATAGATAACCAACCATGCATTAATAGTAGGGTAATTCAATACTCTATTTTTAACAGCAGACAGATTATCTAAACAGAAAGCTAATAAGGAAACTTTGGACTTGAGCTATAATTTATGTCAGATAGACCTAACAGGCATATATGGAAGAGAATATATAGAACATTCTATTCAATAGTAGCAGAATAGATATTTTTCTAGAGTTAACGGGTAGCATATTCAAGACAGATCACATCTTAAGTCACAAAACAAGGGTTAGGAGCTTAAAGAAGACTGAAATTATATTACGTATCATTCTGACAACAATGGTATGAAACCAAAAATTAATCACAGGTAGAAGAGTGGAAAAATCACAAATATGTGGAAATTAGCACATTTTTGAAGAGTCAAAATGGGTCAAAAATAAAATGAAAAAGGAAATTAAATAAAAAAGTCTTGAAACAAACAAAAATGGAAACACAACATTCCAAACCTATGGAATGCTGCACAAAAAATTCTAAAAGGAAAGCTTATCATGTAAACTCTTACATTAAGAACAACAAAATATATCAAATAAACAAGTTAACATTACACCTCAAGGTCTATGTGAAGAACAAACTGCACTCAGTTCATGGAAGGAAGAAAATAAAAAGCAGAAATAAATGAAGTAGAAACCAGAAAAAATAGAAAAGACCCCCAACCTAACGAAGCTGCTTTTTGAAAAGATAAACTATATTCATAAATCTTTAGCTAGAATAACTAAGAAAGAAGAGAGGACACAAGTTCAAAAAAAAATCAGAAATTAAAAAAGAGACCTTACAACTGCTACTACAGAAATACAAAGGATTACAAGAGACTGCTGTGAACAATTTTATAAAAATAATAGAATATCCTAGAAGAAAAGGATAAATTCCTAGAAACATATAACCTACCACCACTGAACCAGGATGAAACAGAAAATCTGAACAGGCCAATAATGAATAAGGAGATTGAATCCTTAATTAAAAACAGCAACAACAAAAACCAAACACAGAAAAACCCAGGACCAAGTGACTTCATTGGAAAATTTTACCAAACCTTTAAAGAAAAATCAATGCCAATTCTTTACAAACTCATTTAAATAATTTTAAAAAAGCAAAAGCTTCAAACTTTTATAAAGGCAACACTACCCTAATACCAAATTCAAGTTCACATAAGAGGACTATAGGAAAAGAAAGCTATAGACTAATAACGCCCACAACGATAGATGCAAAAATTCTCAACAAATTATTAGCAAACCAAATTAAACCACACATTGAAAGGATTATACGGCGTGACCAAACAGGATTTAAACCTGGGATGCAACAATGGTTCAACATATGAGAATCAATAAATTATATATACTACATGACTAAAAAGAAGTCAAATATCTTAAGACTCTCTCAATATATTCAGAAAAAGAATTTGACAAAATGCAATATCCTTTCATGGTAAAAACCCTCAACAAATTGGGTATAGAAGAACATACGTCAACATATGTCAAACCCATAATTAAGAACATACTCAATGATGAAAAGTTAAAAACTTTTACTCTAAGATCAGAAATAAGGCAACTCCTACTGTCACTGAACAGCGCTTGGGGTCCAGGCAAAATTCCGGAGGCAGAGGTTTGGTGATAAAGAAAAGGAGTCTTTAGTCAAAACCTACGTAATTTTGGAATAATGGCTTTCCACATGCATTAGTCATATCATTCTTCCTGTTAGTTGTTAATTATCTTATCTCTATAGGGTTCGTTACAGAGTAAAACAACGTAAGACACGGAAGCTGCCCAATGCTGGAAGGAGGGCAG